GTGCATTGTGGGCTCGATCAGATCCTGGAGCGCACGCCCGAGGCCTACATCATGGCCATGGTTGCCACTTGGATCGCCAGCACATTCGTCTACAAGTATGGGCTCAATGCCAGCGAGTTCGCCTTCTATCAGTTCATGCGGTCGTTGGAGCAGAGCAGCGGGGGAGAGATGACTCCGGCAGATATGGGAAGGCCGCGTCATTTGGGCTCCTTCAGCCTATAGTTCTTTTTTGTCGTATTTTTTCGTTGAACCCGGATCAGTGACCCCGTAGTACTTTTTTCCATCGGTATGTGTGTGTTGCGTTGGTAATACGTGAGGATGGAAAAAGGCTCGAATAGAGCCGATGAGAACCCACGGAGATAGAAGTTTTGTTAGAACGGCAACTGCCGAGTTCTCTGACCTATCCTTGCAGCTACTTGATATTCGTTTTGCTACACCTGCGACCAGGAGACCATAATGAATGCCGAATTGCCTGAAAGTCGGGCCTATCTGCCCCGCCGGACATGGTAAGGTTGAGGGGTATTGAGGGGGAAGTTGACTTCTAGGTGATTATGGAGATGACAGGAGGCGGCTGCTGTACATTCGTGCCCTGGTTGTCACTCGCTCGCTCTTCAGCCTACGTAGGGGACGATGAATTAAAATTTTCCGGAAAGGATGATAATGTAATCATCATACAGTAGCCGCAGTGCGCGCAACTAGCTTCGTTGCGTGTGTAGTTGGAACTTCGATATAGTCGAGAGACAACATTCATGATGAGCGAGAAGGCCCACAGAAACGCTTCCATGTGGCAAAGCATTATGCCGTGCAAGTTTTTGATTTCCAGGGGCTTTTCACTCATTTTATCGGCGAAAGACTGGGCCGAGTTAGCCGGCAAGCAGAGCCTCTTGTCACTCGGGCCAGCAGGTGGGGAGCGAGTTTTCAACGTTAAACAGTGTATTCTGTTGTAGGTTGTTCGGCTCTCTCGACCGCAGTGTACATAATCGTGGAAGTATCTTCTCGGGAGATGAAAGGTTCCCTCAGGATCCTCGCCTCCTTCATGTGGCTTAGCTTATTTCTGTGATAGTCTCGTTGTTTCTGGCAGGCTTCAAGTGCGTGCCTTACGGGGTATTTTAGGATTGCTGTCAACACTATTTTGGGTGCAGGTCCACTTCTGAATCGTCGTGCAAAGCTCCACCACGCGGTCTCTAATTGCGTCGAAGTCGATGGAGAAAATCGAGCCTTAAGCTACAGGGGTAGAGGCGGGGCCAATCGGTGAAGTAGGGGAGGAATTGGCGCTATTAGGCCTCAATGGGAGCGGCTTCGCGGAGAAGTTGACGACAGGTGTGAAACTCTGGGCTTGTGAAGTCCTTCGCCGCGATGTACCCGACAGCGATACGTAGCCGTTTGGCACCCGTCCCGTGGCTGCCTCGTCATGAATTTTCGAGCCTGGTCATAAATTTTCGGATATACTGTTTCTCAGTCGCATTAGTAATCCAACATGTCAACTAACAGCAGCTGCTGAGCAGCTGTTAGTCAACTAGCAGTTGACTAGACAGCTGCTAAGCAGCTACTACACCTTTTCCCGAGCATATAAAATTGGCGGTAGGTGTAGAACACAACTTGTGAATCATATCAAGGGCTGTGCCGAGAATTGAACTTGGGACTTCTCGCACCATAAGCGAGAATCATACCACTAGACCACACAGCCGACATAATAAGGATCATATTTCGACGATTCTGGGAGAGCAGGTCAACGAACAGCTACTAGTACACACTTTGTGAATCATATCAAGGGCTGTGCCGTGAATTGAACTCGGGACCTCTCGCACCCTAAGTGAGAATCATACCACTAGACGACACAGCCGACGTAATAAGGATCATATTTCGACGATTCTGGGAGAGCAGGTCAACGAACAGCTACTAGTGCACACCTTGTGAATCATACTATGGGCTGTGCCGAGAACTGAACTCGGGACCTCTCGCACCCTAAGCGAGAATCATACCACTAGACCACACAGCCGGCATAATAAGGATCATATTTCGACGATTCTGGGAGAGCAGGTCAACGAACAGCTACTAGTGCACACCTTGTGAATCATACTAAGGGCTGTGCCGAGAATTGAACTCGGGACCTCTCGCCACCCAAGCGCAGTACTAGGTGGTAGACCACTTTTCCGCACGAGACCCGAAAAATTCCGAAAGAGTATAATAAAGAAGAATAGAGCGCTTCGCGCTCTATTCTTCTTTAATTTCTTGATCTTCAATATTCGCCGACTTATCGCGAAAAACTGTTCTGACAGGGGCTGGACCACCTGGTCTACGCTCGAAGGAATTTTTTTTCCTTGTTCTTGCTTTGTTCTAGCAAATTTTTTTACGTAATGAAATAGAGAATGAAATTCTCTACCGAATTCATTCAACAAACTTCCCGGAAAGCGCTCTGAACAAGTAAAAACGATGTTGTCAAATTTGCGTTGATCGTGGACCGGTTGGTCTACCCTTGATCGAAATTTTTCGCCCGCCTCTCTGCCTCCTAGGATATTTTTCCTTGGAAAAGGAATAAAGCATATTCAAATCTACGGGTTGACCTCCAGAGGCATTCCCTTAGGTCGGCGTAGGGTCAGTATTCGACCGAAATAGTCAAAGCGTGACGCGTGCTGTGTGACGCCGCGTCACGCCGGAAAATATCCTGCGCGCTCGGTGATTTCGAGGCGAGCCAAACAAGTGCTACTCGAGAGTGGAATGGCCTTCCTCTTCACGAAAATGTTCTCATTTGAGATAACGTAGAGCTCTGACTCAGTTATTTAAAATAGGCGTTACGCCTTATGCCTCGTGGTCGTCCCTCTAAGGCGCAACTCGCCGCAGAAGCGAAAGAAGCTCCGCGCGGTCAACGAGAGCCGTTCATGAGAGCTATAAAGGCGTCGCAAGGCCGTCCCCGTGCTGAAAATTGAAGGAGTCGCCGCTCAAGCCAGTTGGACTCAACTGGAGACCAGTCGACAATCAGCTCAGGGTGCGCGGAAGAGCCTTCTGAAATTCTTCAGTTTCACAAGTGTGACAGAGCTGGAAGCTATATCATAGTATATGATTCGAAGGACGGAGGAGGTTTTCGTTTTTCCAAATAGCAGTGCGTTGAGCACCACGATGGGACGAGAGTATCAGAATAATAGGTACAGATATTCTAAATACACAGCATGATATGCTGGCTGCCAGCCAGGATTTGGAGGCTGGGGGGTGGAGCGACCTAGGAGGGCGAGGTTTTTAGTGCACTCCTACCCGCGTGAAATAACCTTTCCAGGTCCGTGAACAGAATCTCTTCAAGAGATGGAGAAACTCTATTTCATTCACCCATAAGATGAGCGTTTCAACAAGAACTGGCTTCTCAACTTATTTTTTTTATTTTTTTTCGCGCCTCCGGCGCGAATATCACACTATATCGCACAGCCCTCTCGCACCCTAAGCGAGAATCATGTCCAGAGGCCGCTAGAAGCTTAAATAGGGGCAAGAACTATCGCAGAGATAGCAGGGAGAGTTCGGAGAGACGACACGAGAGGCTCGTCGCCGCCGAAATTGTACCGGAAGGCCGTTGCAGTCCTGTACCCAAGAGGGCGAACGGGCAAGGCTGCAGCGAAGCGATCGACGAAACAACGAGCTAAAAAAACAGAGTGACACAGAAATACAGCGGGGAACTTGATACGCATAGAGCGGTCCGGGTAAGCGCCCACACGTGGTCTCTTACCCGGACCGCAGAAGCAAAGTTTGAGGTTCGTAGGATGGTGGGCGTGCGCTAACGAAGCTGCGCAGTTGTACGTCGCGCGCGGCTGTCCCTGTCGTGCGGCCATGTTGTGCGGTGCATTTAGCGCGCGCCCGCCGAGCAGGCTGGACGGTGTACAGCTCTGTAGGGGGCATATATGCGAGGGAAGAGTGGACAAAGCAGATGCTCATGGACGAAAGAAGTGTTGGGGGGGAGCATGGCGCATATGGGAGCCGTGGTAGTCCACGAACGACGTACGCAAGCTCCCGCACGGTGTGTGCAGCGCAGTTGGCGCCATACGAAGCGGATAGTCGGCCAGTACGTTGAACAGGTTGCTAGAAGTTTGTTTACGAACTTTCACGCCACCAGGGCCCCGCCTTGTGGAGATATACGCGCGTGACGTCGATGCAAAGAGCGAAAAGTGCAAAACATGCGGCGTGACGCGAGCGAAGCGATTGTCCCGTAGTGACGTAACTTTACACACTTATTTTTGAGCTAACTAGGCTATAGATTGACACCGGGACAAGTCGAATGTGATTTTTTTGGGGTATGTGTAATCGTGCACAGTTTGAGGAAAATTGAATGGTAAACAGCGAAAAAAAGACCCTTCGTTGCTGCAGTCCGGTAGTAGGATCAAGCGGTGAGGATCACCCGAAAAGCGCGCGCCCGCACGGGCCCCTCCCCGCGCGGGCGAACAGTGTGTGAATGGGTGGGGGTGGGATCGCCGCTTTTCCACCGTCCACCGAGCTGAAAACTCCCCTCGCCTTGTAATGTGTTTGTATGAGGGCTATGCCGAGAATTGAACTCGGGACCTCTCGCACCCTAAGCGAGAATCATACCACTAGACCACACAGCCGAGTCTGGTCGGGTTTATTGGGTCGCTCTGGGCAGCAGTGACTGAGCTGAAAACTCCCCTCGCCTTGTAATGTATTTGTATGAGGGCTGTGCCGAGAATTGAACTCGGGACCTCTCGCACCCTAAGCGAGAATCATACCACTAGACCACACAGCCGTGTCTGGTCGGGTTTATTGGGTCGCTCTGGGGGTCGCTCTGGGCAGCAGTGACTGAGCTGAAAACTCCCCTCGCCTTGTAATGTGTTTGTATGAGGGCTGTGCCGAGAATTGAACTCGGGACCTCTCGCACCCTAAGCGAGAATCATACCACTAGACCACACAGCCGTGTCTGGTCGGGTTTATTGGGTCGCTCTGGGGGTCGCTCTGGGCAGCAGTGAGTGAGCTGAAAACTCCCCTCGCCTTGTAATGTGTTTGTATGAGGGCTATGCCGAGAATTGAACTCGGGACCTCTCGCACACGACCTCTCGCACCCTAAGCGAGAATCATACCACTAGGCCACACAGCCGAGTCTGGTCGGGTTTATTGGGTCGCTCTGGGCAGCAGTGACTGAGCTGAAAACTCCCCTCGCCTTGTGATGTATTTGTATGAGGGCTGTGCCGAGAATTGAACTCGGGACCTCTCGCACCCTAAGCGAGAATCATACCACTAGACCACACAGCCGTGTCTGGTCGGGTTTATTGGGTCGCTCTGGGGGTCGCTCTGGGCAGCAGTGAGTGAGCTGAAAACTCCCCTCGCCTTGTAATGTGTTTGTATGAGGGCTATGCCGAGAATTGAACTCGGGATCTCTCGCACCCTAAGCGAGAATCATACCACTAGACCACACAGCCGAGTCTGGTCGGGTTTATTGGGTCGCTCTGGGCAGCAGTGACTGAGCTGAAAACTCCCCTCGCCTAGTAATGTGTTTGTATGAGGGCTGTGCCGAGAATTATATTCGGCACCTCTCGCACCCTAAGCGAGAATCATACCACTAGACCACACAGCCGTGTCTGGTCGGGTTTATTGGGTCGCTCTGGGGGTCGCTCTGGGCAGCAGTGACTGAGCTGAAAACTCCCCTCGCCTTGTAATGTGTTTGTATGAGGGCTGTGCCGAGAATTGAACTCGGGACCTCTCGCACCCTAAGCGAGAATCATACCACTAGACCACACAGCCGTGTCTGGTCGGGTTTATTGGGTCGCTCTGGGGGTCGCTCTGGGCAGCAGTGACTGAGCTGAAAACTCCCCTCGCCTTGTAATGTGTTTGTATGAGGGCTGTGCCGTGAATTGAACTCGGGACCTCTCGCACCCTAAGAGAGAATTATACCACTAGACCACACAGCCGTGTCTGGTCGGGTTTATTGGGTCGCTCTGGGGGTCGCTCTGGGCAGCAGTGACTGAGCTGAAAACTCCCCTCGCCTTGTAATGTGTTTGTATGAGGGCTGTGCCGAGAATTGAACTCGGGACCTCTCGCACCCTAAGCGAGAATCATACCACTAGACCACACAGCCGTGTCTGGTCGGGTTTATTGGGTCGGGCAGTCACCTAATGTCCTGGTGAACAGTGGTGACCACCTACTCTTAGTTGGCAGCAAGTATAGGCTACTGCCTAGCTGCTGGCTCTGACACTGATAAGTACTGAGCAGGTCAGAGTAATGCCACACACTGTTCACACTCCCAACCCCTGCATTTTGGGAATTTCGCCCCTCGCCTTGGAATGTGGAGTGTTTGCACGAGAGAACCCAGCCGTGTCTGGTCGGGTTTATTGGGTCGCTCTGGGCAGCAGTGACCGAGCTGAAAACTCCCCTCGCCTTGTAATGTGTTTGTATGAGGGCTATGCCGAGAATTGAACTCGGGACCTCTCGCACCCTAAGCGAGAATCATACCACTAGACCACACAGCCGAGTCTGGTCGGGTTTATTGGGTCGCTCTGGGCAGCAGTGACTGAGCTGAAAACTCCCCTCGCCTTGTAATGTGTTTGTATGAGGGCTGTGCCGAGAATTGAACTCGGGACCTCTCGCACCCTAAGCGAGAATCATACCACTAGACCACACAGCCGAGTCTGGTCGGGTTTATTGGGTCGCTCTGGGGGTCGCCCTGGGCAGCAGTGACTGAGCTGAAAACTCCCCTCGCCTTGTAATGTGTTTGTATGAGGGCTGTGCCGAGAATTGAACTCGGGACCTCTCGCACCCTAAGCGAGAATCATACCACTAGACCACACAGCCGTGTCTGGCCGGGTCTATTGGGTCGCTCTGGGCAGCAGTGAGTGAGCTGAAAACTCCCCTCGCCTTGTAATGTGTTTGTATGAGGGCTATGCCGAGAATTGAACTCGGGACCTCTCGCACCCTAAGCGAGAATCATACCACTAGACCCCACAGCCGAGTCTGGTCGGGTTTATTGGGTCGCTCTGGGGGTCGCTCTGGGCAGCAGTGAGTGAGCTGAAAACTCCCCTCGCCTTGTAATGTGTTTGTATGAGGGCTATGCCGAGAATTGAACTCGGGACCTCTCGCACCCTAAGCGAGAATCATACCACTAGACCACACAGCCGAGTCTGGTCGGGTTTATTGGGTCGCTCTTGGGGTCGCTGTGGGCAGCAGTGACTGAGACGAGAACTCCCCTCCCCGCAATTTTATTAGTGCATGTAACCAAGAAAGTGCTAAGCCATTCCGGGTTCCAAGTCCACGTCCAGAAGTCCAAGGGCCGGTTTTCCCACCCGTCCCCTATTAAAGTGATGCTACACGGAAAGGTCGACTTACTGGGTGAATTTTCCAAGACGTTTTCCCAGGCGAGCTCTCTCGCATTAAAGTACCAGCATGGAGAGTGACACCCAGCTTGGAAAAATTTGGTATGGTACCAATGGTACTTGAAAGACGCAGCACTACTACGTTTTTCTGGTACTTATGTTTTTCGCAACGTTCTCCTGATACTTGAAAAACGGAAGCTTGGAAAATTTAGAATGAGGTGAATTGGTTATTGGTTAGGTGCCTTCGAATGGCGTAGTTATCGTTCTGGGATACGACCATGCTCGTGAGTTATTGTTTCTGCCTACAATTATTGCTCCCTATCAAGTAACGGGTGCGCTTGGAGAAAGCGGGTTGCGCTTCGGAGTCGCGCGACTGGTGGAAAAATGGCCCTCCTCCGGGACATGGAAGTCGCGCACTTTAAATTGAATTGAAGTCTTCAATCCACACTCGCGTGTAAATGCGCACTCGAGTTGGAAATAGGACCCGGAACGTGGATCCAAGTACTTGGAGATATCCCCTGGGTCATTGATGCACTTGAATACACTTCTTTCTCCAAGTTTGGAAAGTACTACTTTCCCTCTACTTGGGCTTGGAAAAGTGGGCACTTTAATTGGCTCCTGGTGCGAAATCGGCTCACAGTCAAAACCTGATGAGAATTTCGACCCACCTAACCTCTGGTGGATTCTCCAGCGACGTCGTCTTCAGTTTCAGACTTCCAAATCGCAAGGTCGCACATCTATCAGCGTGCTTCAGCGAACAGGATCCCTGACGTTTGATTGGTCCTCAGATTTCGGAAGGCTAGGTTCCTATTGGTTGGCGGTTGGCGATCTGCCACTGAGCGTCTCAGAACGACAGAACCTCTCTAGAAGTAATCCGAACACGCCGCGTTTAGCATCACTGTGCCCGTGCAGTCGGGGTAGTCTTTGCCATAACAAGCTCATGTTGATCAGTTTCGTGATTGCTACTCTCGCTGCGTTTCGTTGTCAAACGATAGTTCGTAGACTCAACTACGAAGGGGATGCGATGGCCTTTTTCCTTATCCCTGTTTGTGGCTAGGCCTCTTCTTTTTGTCGGCTCTTTGCCGTCTCAAGCCCCTTCCTGTCTGTGACTACAAGCACTCAACCGGACAATCATGCGTGACTCTGTAGCTTCAGAGTGTCGTGGCGGACCACTTCGGTCTCTTGTAAAGCGACTGGCAACATCGCCGTCATTGGCAATATTGCTCGCCTCTTTCATAGCCTCAGTAACACCGTTGTCTGTAGCTGGTGTCAGCATCGCGAATACCGACTATGAAGAGGTATTGGCTCTACGAGATGCTGGCATACTACACTCGGGTGTTCCTTGCAGATATCGGAAGACGTTAGCGATTTGTGTGAAGCTGTCGAGCTCGGTGACGGAACCTATTACCTTGTCGCAGCTTACAGAGGGAATGCTGTCGCGGTAAAGCGGATGGCTTCGGCTATCTAACCTATCGCTACGGTTTCATTCTCGTTCAGTTGACCAGTAGGCGTTCGGGTTCGAAGCAGCCCTATGTTCGGTGCAAGCCCGTGAAGGAACCGATCTACCGTTCGTTCGGCGGGAAATTCGTGGTTCAAAGCACATGTGGCCTCTCTACTGTCCGCTTTTACTTCAAGGACCAGCATGGAGCAGCAGACTTTGCTGTACTGTGGGGAGGCGTCACTACGGTAGGTCACTGACAGAGCCCCGCCGCCCTGATGATGCCAGGAATTGCGGCTATCTCGGAATTCTTCATCGGTCTGTGTTCAGGTGGAAATGGTTGAGGACTATCTATCGAAGTCACCTGTATTCAACTCAGCCTCTCTTGGTGAAAAGTTGAAGCTCGTGAAAGCTGCTGTCGATCACTCTCCCGAACACTACTTCGCTACTCGCCGGACGCTAGAGGTGGCAGCCCAGGCCTTCCGAAGCACAGTCAATCAGCCCTTTCTTCAGTTCACTGTTGGAGGGGAGTCTGAGCCAATTTCTTTGGACTGTGATCGAGTTCGCGACCAGGGAACTTCCAAGAGGGGCTACTCCTCGGATGAAGGTGTCGATCATGCCTGTCTTAGTCAGTCAGGCGTCATCGTCTGTGTATCGTCCTTCAGCTGGCTCCCAATTTACTGTGACAGTCGACTGTAATGAGGAAACTAAAGGGAAGGTCACTCTGAGCATCCCTTTTGAGAAGAGCTACGTGGCGAGCGACTTCGCCGCTAGTTGGGGCTACTTCACCTATGCTGTAATCGCTCTCCTTTGTAGTGGTCATGACGATGGCCCGGTTCAGATACGAGTAAACGTTAGCAAGGCAGATCCCGAGATCGAAGACATGCGGGTTGAGCTCAACCTAGATTCGAAGAGACCAAGAGAACGACTGATCACTGTAGGATGATGAGTCATCATCCACCACGAGCAAGGCTCTTGCGTGGCCTCTTCTCACCTGTTGTATCTGCCTCAGTACAACTCAGTGAAATACACCTGTGGCGCCGTATTCTTCGCTGATGAGACGGATGGCGGGTATTCTATGAAAGCCAATTGCGCTGAGATTGGCGTGTGGCAACGGCAAGATATGGAGTTCAAGTTCAAAGATGTTCGAGAGGGGCGAAGGATCGCCTATGAGCTGGGCGGCTATCGCGGGGTAGCCCGGCTGCCGCTTGCACGGCTTCCCACTCGGAAAGGTGGCCCTCTCTCAGGTTCGAAGCGAGCTTCTCACCAAAATCAAAGACGGCCGAGTCTTCGGAGAGAAGAGCAGCATCGCTAAAGTCATCAGAGCATCTGGGGAAGTTAGTCTTGCGGATGCGGAAAACACTATCAAACAGAGACTCGAGGTGAGCAGCAGCAGGTCGTTTGCACTGCCTCCGTCGTCGGCGGTAAAGTTAGCGGTCTAGATCACCTTCGAAGATGGCGAGACGAGGCCAATGCGGTGCATGCCTCTTGAAGGGACCAACGGCCTGCGAGCATCCTATGGGAACTTCCTGCTACAAGCGAAATGCAGTGGCCTTTTCACTGAGCTTCTCTTCGAGGATGAAATCAGTATGATGGCCTTTGCTGTCGAGTGGGCTGGATATCGACCGATGGAGGTGAAACGAGACGTCGAGGCGCTCCGAGGATGACTCTCCAATTGCTAATCGTTCTCAGGAGGAGCTTCAAATCGGCTTCCGTGACAGTGCAACCGAGGTACAGATTCAACCCAAAGGCGTTGATGTGGCGACAGCCTTCCCTCTCGGGATGGCCTACGCCGAGCGATGGGCCTCTTACCTGGACAGGAAGGATCGC